TAGGGAAAAGAGACATAGATTAGATACTAAAGAGAAAAAGGGATAAAGTAGCTGAATTTTTGTCTTGAAGATGAAATGAACCAGGTAAAAGAATTATCCTCTGAGCAGTACCTGAATATAAATTGAGTGAAAGGCTAGCTTCCATTTGAAGCCTAGAGAGTTAAAGTTAGTTTTCAATTGTATTGTTAGGAAATAGAGGTAGAAACATGGCTGACAGTATTAAATGTTAAACAGGAAAGACAGTAAAATGGACATGAAAGCATAAGAAAACTATTCACAGAGATGTTGATCATCAGGTTAATTAAGCGACAGGAAAAGCAGGGAAGGTATTCAGCTCTGGATCCATTTGTGAAAAAAATGCATGGGTGGTAACAACAGTATGTTCAAGAAGTAGCTAAATTTTCAGCTAAGAATATGTCTTACTTCTAATTCTCTCTCTGCAACCTCTAATAGTTGCAGTTACTTAGCACACTGCTTGAGAAAAGGTTATTAACTGAGGGCTACTGTAGAGTGTGTATCCCTGTCTTATGCCGGGTAGCAGTGGATGAAAGCCTGGTAAAAGCAACTTGGAGATAGAATACAGGGGCCTTGACCATCAAAACAGATTACACTTTATTACATTTTAATATAGCGACATAAAAAATTTTTGAAAAATAAGTAAAATTTTAAAGAAATATGTCAGGAAGGTTTTTATTTCCAATACCAAGTTGCATTCAGGATACTTGAGAGCAAGCATTTTCAAACTGTAGGTGCCATTTCTATCAGAAAAAAACACTCATCTAGAGAAAAAACACAAGAAAGGGACCAGAACACTGAATTTTGTTGTTGTTGTGTGTGTTTTGTTTGTTTGTTTTGTTCTTTTGTTTTGTTTTGTTTTTTTGTTTTGTTTTGTTTTTTTTATTCCAGGCACTACATTACACACATTAAAATCATTTTCTGATTACCTTCCCTTTCTCAAAAATCTATATATACTTTTATTTTTTTAAATCCTCACCCAAGGACATGCTTAGAGAGAGGGAGTGAAGAGAGAGAGAGAGAGAGAGAGAGAGAGAGAGAGAGAGAATGAATTTGTTGCCTTCCCTATGTGTGTGACCTGGGATCAAACCTGTAATCTAGGCATGTGCCCTGGTTGGGAATTGCACTGGCAACCTTTCAGTGCAAAGGATGATATTCAACCAACTGAACCACTTAAGTATCACATGATCTCACTTATATATGGAATCTAATGAACAAAATTACCTGACGAACAAAATAGATCCAAAGAGACATTGAAGCATACAATATACTGCCATATTTCAGAGGAAAGGGGGAGGGTAGGAAGAGATTAACTAAGAATTTATATGCATATCTGCATAATAACCCATGGACACAAACAATAGTGTGGTGAAGGCCTAGGGAGGGAGTAAGAGCAGGGTGGAGAGGGTCAATGGGGGAAAAAGGGGGACATCTGTAATACTTTCAACAATGAAAATGATTTTTTTAAAAGGTCAGATTATCTCTACTATAACAAAAGTTACATTCTGGGAAGCACTGACTTCAAGGAAGCTGATTAGAAGAAGGTTTTATGCCCTACCTCAGTGGTTGGCAAACTCATTAGTCAACAGAGCCAAATATCAACAGTACAACGAATGAAATTTCTTTTGAGATCCAAATTATTTAAACTTAAACTATATAGGTAGGCACATTGTTATTAACTTAATTAGGGTACTCCTAAACTGGCCTTTGTTAAAAATGTTCTCAATCTGATTGAGGTACGTTCGCTGAGGTCAACCCCTTCCAACTCTCCCATCCATAATCATCTTCGTCTATCTTTTGTCATGCGCTCATGGTTTGTGGACGCGACTAGCACTAACCACTGCACAATGAGACTGCTGACTGACAGGCTCACTCAACTCGTGCATGAATCGTGCGTGCCTCCCCCATGCTGCATATCCCACCACCCACCTGCAACGCATGTCCTGTTGCCAACAGACCGACACCCCCCACTTCTAACTCCACTTCTTCAAAATAGACCCACCCAGGCCGAAAACTGACTTCTGCACATGAGCCACGACATTTCATTCGCACTGTACATGCGCGCCCACACGTGGTATTTTGTGGAAGAGCCACACTCAAGGGGCCAAAGAGCCACATGTGGCTTGCGAGCTGCGGTTTGCCGACCACTGCCCTAGCTGGTTTGTCTCAATGGATAGAGTGTCTGCCCACAGACTGAAGGGTTCTGGGTTCAATTCTAATGCTGGTCAAGGGCATGTACCTTGGTTGCAGGCTCAATCTCCTGGTCAGGATGCATATGGGAGGCAACCAGTCGATGTGTCTATCTCATATCGATGTTTCCCTCTCTCTGTCTCTCCCCCTCTCTTCCACTCTCTCTAAAAATTCAATGGGAAAATATTCTTGGGTGAGAATTAGCAGAAAACAAAAGAAGAAAGCTTTATGAAAGAGCAAGAGTTTGAGCATCAGTGTTGCAGATGAAGATTGTCATGAGGTCTTGGCTACACTTCCCATAGATATGTGGAGCCCACTTTTCTCTCCCCTGGAATCTTTGCTGGGCCTGTAAGCACTTGGTCTGTAACAGAAGTGAACCTGCATATCCTCCTAGTCTCTTGGAGGGCTTTCTGCGGGAGAAGCCAGCCACCATGTGGAAATCCTGACTCTCCTGAGATCACCACAGTCTGAGAATGCCAAGTCACTTGGAGAAACCCAACAGAAGGAGATGCCGCAGTCAGAGAGGTCAAGGCCACAAAGTAGCAGGCTCCAGACATGTGAGTGAAGAAGCATTCTTGCAAGTGGATTTCCATCCCCTCCGCCCCAACTGATGCCATGAAGATCAGGTACAGACTGCCTGGATGAGGCCTTCCCAAAATCCTGACCCCCCTCCCCCAAATTCCAAATCAAAATAAAATAGTTGTTTTGAGCTACTATATTTTGGGGTTACTTGCTGAGCAGTAATAGGCATTCTGAAGAGCCAGGAATAGCAAAAATCACAATGCTACTATTGATTATTTTTAGAATGACATATCAAATGGTGCTGAAGATACTTATAAAAAACACTAGAGGCCTGGTGCATGAAATCCATGCATGACCAGCAATCAGGGCAGATCAGGGCCTTCCTTCATTCTGCACCGCCCTCTGGTGGTCAGTGCCCATCATAGCAAGCAATCCAACTCTTGAGTCTCCCAGTTGAACTCCAGGACACTTTGCATGGATAATCTAATGATTGATGATCTGTTCAATCAGATTATTGCAATAAAGTAGCATCACATGCACATATAACACATACACATACACATACAACTAGCAAACTGAAAAAAAAGGGGTGGAAATAAGATGAAATGTGAGGAGAGAGAAAATCTGGTAGTTAGCACTGATCTGTCAAATATGACTCATTCTGATATTCTCAGTGCATTATCTCAAAGGGGTTTTTTAAATCCTCCTCACCTCTGTGGGAATCTTTTAGTCCCAGTGATCCAACTTCAGTGGCAGACCCCACAGCTAGGTCAGTTAAAATCAATTCTCAGATAAAATTCAACCAACAAGGAAAGGCTTCAAGGAAAGGAGAGAAAGATTTGACAAGGTTTTTATCGGAACTTCTCCGCACTTCACACATTATGGGCCTTGCAATGTAATAAGCATTTGCTAGTCATCCTGGGGAATGCTATTTTCTCTCTTCTCAGCAAGACCCAAGAGTGAGGTCGAAATGCTTTGTCTAAATAGCTCCTTGTTCAGAGAAACTAATATTAGACTGTAAACTAAAAAAGGTGCTGTGCTTTCAGAAAGCATTTCACCACTCATTGTTTCCTGCCCATAGATAATTCTGAGGAAGTATGTTCATTGACTTATGTCAGCTCTAAAAGCCCCAATTCTCCTGAATTATTCTAGTGAATTTCAAGCCAACCAATTCTAATTCATTTCTTTAATCTATTGACTGCATAAGAAATTTTTGGCCATTTCAATAGGATTTTTCAAATCTATAAAACATATGTTTGAATCCTCATATCTACTATAAATATAGCATATTTTAATGTAAGTTGTTGATAGGCGCCATGGTACGTCAAGTGGAGTTAAATATATGTGTGCTTAGCGCATATAGTGTGATCTGTTAAGGACCTTTAGTGTCCCTGACAGCACTTTTCCCCGTTTTATCTGGGCATTTGTTTCTTAGCTGTTTTCAGTGGTGACACTCAATCAGCATAAGATTCTAGTAAACATTTGACTTTAGATACTTACAGGTATAAATCATCATTGCTCCACAGGCTGGGAAATGTGGTGTTCTTTAAATTGGCATGATTCCTCTTATTTTCTTTCCTAAAAGTTTATCATAAATACCAGCAATTGACAGATCTTTCTTTTCCATAGGTGTCCTTCAGCAAATATTGAAATATGATGACCCATAAAACATTACTGAAAGTGATAGAGCACAATAATTCAAAAAGGGCAATTTTCACAGTTCTTCACTCTGCCTCGCTCTATATATTACATGTAAATGAATTTGTCATGTTAAAGGATTGCAGATCCATACGCTCAGACTACTTGTGAAAGAACTGACTTTTTCATGTATGCCAAACCAAGAAATGTAGACGAAGATAAGATCTCAGGCTGATTAGTACTCATATGTTTCCTGCAGTTAACAGTATCTGGCTCCTAGTGGTTACCCATAAATAGTTGTTGAATTAATTAAGAATTAAATAGACATTTTAATTTTTCACAAATTATTATTGGAGGGAAGATTTAAAAAATATAATTTTCTAGAATGCACCCTCCATCCCTCAGTAGGTAGTCAAGGAAGTTAAACTCCTGCTTTTCATCCCTGGAATATTTAGGATCCAAAGCTGGGGTAGACAATCCATTTGGTCACAGATGAAAGACTTATAGTTGAAACAATACATGTATTTATCAAGATAATTTATATTAAAATCATAGTGCTCTAGATTTGAAAAAAAAATCTTTAAGATTCCTCTAGCTTCTTTATTATTTATTTATTTAAGAATAGTTTATTGATTTTCAGAGAGAGAGGAAGGGAGAGGGAGAGAGAGAAATATTGATGTGAAAGAGTGCAACATCGATGGGATGCCTCCTGCACACCCCATATCCGGGATGGAACCAGCAACCATGTGATCTTCACAGGAATTGAACCAGAAACCCC